ACCTGAATGATATCTGCTTTTACGCTCGGATATCCTACCTGTTCGATCACCCGGGCACCGTTTTCTATGCTATCTTCGTGTCGTTTTGGGGTAAGTTTGTTGTTCCGTCTCGTCAGTCTTCTGTTTTTTTTTTTTTTTTTTTTTTTTTTTGAAGGAGGCGATTAAGGATGTTTTATTACCACGTTTTTTTTTTTTTCAGGAATGTACATTAGGGGGAAAAATATAAAAGGGGGCCGATGATGTTGATTCTGTTCGTGACGACATAAATGCAATAGGTCGTTCGAACTATGACAAATATGGCAGTGCTAAGCTAAATAGATGATTTGTTATTGATATACCATATTGCTGAATGTTTAAGGGCACACTTGGCTATATTTACTTGAGCTATTGGAGGCGTTTTCGGGGGGGGCGCATTTTTTAATAGCGTATTTATCGTATATATCAAATTTGTGGCACTTCTATGGTAATGATTATTTGAGCATTGTATCAGTAACAAATAGGAGATCCAGAGTCTCACGGTTTCATAAGAGAAAAAAGAACAAACATATTCATGAAGATTCATAGGAAGTTCCAGTCAACATTTTATCCAATTTAGGACAATCGTATTTACACTGTTGCTTAATATTTCCTTATACCGTGTACTACTTTCTTGCTTGGGTGTAGAATGGTAATACACGATATACAGGACTCGCAATAACGAAGGGAGGCCCTTTTGTGCTCCTCACATGTATGCGTGTCAAGACTGTTCATTTCTCTATCTACATCTTTCTATCTGGCTATGTTTCTATTTATCTATCGATTCATATGTGTGTATGTGTGTGTGTGTGTGTGTGTGTGTGTGTGTGTGTACGTATGTATGTATGTACGTATGTAAGTGTGTATGTATGTATGTATGCATGTGTGCATATATTCTTTTTGTCACTCCTGACGCCGCGCATCCCGCAGCCGTGTCCTTCCTGGAGTACTGGAAGCGAAAGAGCGCGTCCCTGGCCCACCACTGGGACTGCCTGGACTTCCAGGAGGAGGAGGAGCGGCCACGCCCCGAGTTCGCGGCCAAGGCGCCCCTGCAGGAGAGGAACCCCATCACGGGCGTGCGGGAGCCCTCCTTCCCCAAGTCCATCAGGACGAAGAGAATCATGGCGGGGGTCGGCCTCATCTTCATTATGGTGGGTCGTGACGTCAGCGCGTAGACAAGAACATTTTTTTTTTTTCTTCATATATAAGGAAACAGAAATGAGGAAAATCTATGATTAATAACTTAGAATCAGTACACATTTGGCATACTGTTGCTGATTATTTATTTTTTGCAAATTTTTTGTTCGTTTCTTTACCATTAATCCATGTTCTTCCTGCAGATGAGTCTTGTGATCATCTTCATTGTAGCTGTCATTATCTATCGCGTATTGGTGTCTATTCCTCTCTTCCGAAATGATACGCTCAGGTCACAGGTCAGTTGGTTTCTCTATTTTTTTTTTATATTCAATTCCAATCTGTTGCTTTAATCTCCCTATATCTATTCGTGTCTGTCTATTCGAACGGCCTTCACTCCTCCGTGTGTTTATTTACCTATTCGTTCCTTTCTCGATCTCTGTTTAGAAAATAAAAAAATAAATAAATAAAAAATAAAAAAATACTTGTGTCTGATGTACTTAAGTATCGTACTTAGGTACACATATATATATGTGTGTGTGTGTGTGTGTGTGTGTGTGTGTGTGTGTGTGTGTGTGTGTGTGTGTGTGTGTGTGTGTGTGTGTGTGCTACGTAAATCCGAACTCATACACGTATCCAACTCTTTCCTTACCAAACTTTCCCCTTTTCCAGGCGCAAGCTATATCGTCCTTATCAGGCGCAGTCGTCAACTTCATCATCATCATGTGCATGGGACGAGTCTACGAGAAGCTGGCATACAGACTCACCACCTGGGGTACGTCCCTGAAACACCTTGCTGTAAAAGGGCGAAAAAAGATCATGGAAAAGGATTTTGGTCAAATTACGATCGTAATATCAAGATCGAAACTGCTTTTATAAAGGTTTCTGATCCTAAATTCCCGTAATGGAACACTTTTGATTACTGAGGGAATGGTATCGTGTCTTCCATTAAACCATATTGGTGTACTGGGACTATACAGTATATGAACAAATATCGCATAAAAAAAGAAGAAAAAATAAGTTTCTGAAATTGCCGGTATGAGACTTCTTAACGCTGGAAACTGTCCATACCTTGACATGAGCCAGAAGGACATTATCAGAAATGGAAAAACAATCAAATTTAAACGCCTGAGGTAAACTGAAGCAACTTTGATTACAGGGATTTAAACAATTTCCCTGAATTGCCCGGCCGCCTCCCTCAAGTCTCGTTCATGTTGGTGCAACTTGCAACTTCTAAACTAAGTTAGGCAAAGAAACAAAGAACTTTAACCCCAAGACATGATTTTTTTATCTTCGTTGTTTCTCTTTCTCGGTGTCTTACTCGTTGGTTCATAAACAATTATAGATATATATATATATATATAATATATCATATTATCTTTTCTTTTAACGAAATATTAAATACATCACTCCGTCATTAGAAATATTAATACACTCAACGCCATAGGCTAGAATTCGTTATAACGTGTTGATTTTCCTGTTAATATCCACCCGTATGTCTCCCTTCCCATGCATGTTTATTCCCCTTTTTGCTAATTGAATTATCCAATTGCATTTAGAGTGACACGCCCGTACTCAGCCGCATAAACTTCTTTGCCATTAGTAAACTTCTTTGCCAGCTTCATACTACCAAGTGACAAATACTTGTTATACTGACGTACAATTTACTATCATATCCATGTTAAAAACCCACTTGTTACCTCGAAGTCAGGCATACATTCGGGTTCAGTATCCTAGCCACAAGCTCTCCCACTCATCATCATAACCACTCACTACCACAACCACAACAACCCCCGGCCACTCACACCATCACCCAACACCTCCTCTTCTTCCTCCTCCTAACCCGACCTCGTCCTCCACAGAGATGCACAGGACGCAGACGGAATTCGAGGACAACTTCACCTTCAAAGTCTTCATATTCCAGTTCGTCAATTTCTATTCGTCCATCTTCTACATCGCCTTCTTCAAGGGGCGGTTCGTGGGCTTCCCGGGCCACTACCATCGCATCTTGGGCCTTCGAAACGAGGACGTGAGTGGTGCTTGGGCTGTGGCGGTAGCGGTGCTGTCATTGGTGTTGTTGTTGCTTTTTGTTACTATCATTATTATTATGTTGATGATTATCATTATCATTTTTATCATCATTATCATTATTATCATTATGTTTTATTATCATTGTCATTATCATTGTTATTAATAACAATCATTAATATCATTACTATGATTGTTATTATTGTTATTATTGTTAAAGTTATTGTTATCATCATTATTGTTATTATTATGATTATCATTATTATCATTATGATTATCATTATTATCATTAGTAGTAGAAGTATAGTAGTTTAATTTTCATTAAAATCATTATGATTACAACTACTACTACTATTACTATTACTATTACTACCACTCCTGATTAGAAGCATTATTGGTGATAGGATTATGAGTTAGTTAGTTAGCAGTGTGACTTATGATCATTATTGTTATTATTATGATTATCATTATTATCATTATGATTATCATTATTATCATTAGTAGTAGAAGTATAGTAGTTTAATTTTCATTAAAATCATTATGATTACAACTACTACTACTATTACTATTACTATTACTACCACTCCTGCTACTATTAGCTTCATATTTGCCATCATGACACAAATATCTCACTGATATTGCATCCGGCGTCTTTCTACTTACTTGAGGATTTGCCTTCAGTGTTCAGCAGGTGGATGTCTGATCGAACTGGCTCAGCAGCTGGCCGTCATAATGATAGGCAAACAGGTGGTGAACAATGCACAGGAGATTCTTGTGCCTAAAATGAAAGCCTGGTGGCACAAGAAGCAGGTTAGTGTTTGTGGTGTGTGGTCTGTATGTGTGTGTGTGTGGTTTGTGGTTGTGTGTTTGAGTGTGTGTATGTGTGTGTGTGTATGTTAGCATATTTTCGCCCCCTGGATATGCCTTTGTCTGTACGCATATATTAGTATGTATGCGTGTGTACATTGTTAATAAAACGCTCTGTGAAATGTTAATTAAAATGGAAATAGGGAATTTGCACTTTTACGAGATGATGATTAACATGGAGGCTTTTTACAGGTGAAACTGAGCCACAAAGCGAGGACCAGGTGGGAGGCAGACTACCAGCTGATAGATAACGAGGGCTTATTCCAGGAGTACCTTGAGATGGGTTAGTTAGCTCTGTCTGTCTCTCTCTCTCTCTCTTTCTCTTTCTCTCTCTCTCTCTCTCTCTCTCTCTCTCTCTCTCTCTCTCTCTCTCTCTCTCTCTCTCTCTCTCTCTCTCTCTCTCTCTCTCTCTCTCTCTCTCCCTCCCTCCCTCCCTTTCCCTCTCTCTACATATCTATCTGTCTGTCTGTCTGTCATTCTATCAATCTTCCTACCTATCCATCAACCAGATATTCTCTGCATATTGTTCTAACTATACATGTTGAAATCTAAAGTTATGCAATCCTTCACTTTTCTGACAATGCTAAAATTCAGGAATGAAATCAGCACATATAATGATTAAGAAACGCGTTGTCACTGACAGCCATTGGTTGTTCAAAGCATCAGTTAATCAGCTGATTAGTCTTAAGATATTACTTAGAATATATCCATCGCCGTTTTATATGTATGACTTCATTTTCTTCTCCTTAAAGAGTGAGGGAGAGAGTCAGCGATAAATATGAATATATATATATATATATATATATATATATATATATATATATATATATATTATATATATATATATATATATATATATATATATATATATATATATATATATATATATATATTTATATTCATATTCATATATGACTCTCTCTAATAGTACATATATATAAATATGTATATATATT